ATAAAACCAATACAATCTTCAAAACCTCAGAATCTAAAAGAATGTTATATTATTTTTACTAAATTATTAAATTACATTTACCTAACTATTGAAGGATTGTAAATACAGCATGGTATGTAAATATCATAAATCATCCATTAAATCATTAACTTACAATATAYTTTTAAGCTTTGTAGTTACTAACGGCTAATGGCTATAAATTAGACATTGTGCAGCCATAGTTAATACTACTTCGTATAAGTAATACATGCTTCACAAATTCATATTTTTTACACATAGGTACCTTATAATAAAGAAAATATTAATCATTATGATTTACTTAAAGATCTTTGTCAAGTACCTATAGTCTTACTATTCTTATTAGGTATTTAGGCATAATGTGTAGTGAACACTACAGGTTTATGATAAAATTATATACGTAGCTTAAAAGTAGTCTAAATATTTTGAAAATTACTGCATGGTGTTTAGAATATCACAATTAAATTAATAGCGGGATGTTTCAAGGTTATACGATTAATTTTTTTTAATTTTTTTTTTGGTTTTCGGTCATTGAGACCATACCGCCAAACAAATTTCTCTCCATCTATCTCTATTTTCTTAATTATTTTTAATTACAACAATATAACAAAAACTGTTTGAGTAAAAATCGTTGTAATCATTTAAATATACGATTTCGTCAAAATTTGAACTCATGCTAAACTTTTCASTAATTTCAGGAATACTAACTGATCCTATCTTGTATTGTGTTACAGTTTATATTATAAACTTCAAATTTGAATAACTTTTAAAACGACTTTTACATATTCTAACAAAGTAACAAATGTCTAACAACGTCCAATAAGTGATTGTTGTGCCAACTTTGATGGTAAATATATGTGCGCAGAATCAATTTTGGAATTCCAAGAATTTCATTCCCTGGTGGGGAAACAACTGATTACGATAGTTTTGGGACTGATCGTGCAAATAGGCACATGCTAATAACATGTTAAATATTTGTACAGGAAAAATTGGAAATAAATATTGTTGATATGTTATAATATGTAAAAAGGTGTGAAACACGTATAACTAYAGGCCTTTATTTTTTTATGATTTCGTGGTTAAATAAACTACTAAGAGCATGCGCACTACAAAGGTCAGCATGTAAATACATATACAATTGCATGTTAAATATTCAAGCCTGGGCATAAACGCGTTAAAAAGTTAAAAGTTAAGTTAATTTTAACTTTTAACTTAACTTTTAAAAATTTAATTTTCATAAACTTAATTTTTAACTTAACTTATTTTAATTGATATAAACTTAATAAATAACGAGTTACTTTTAATCAAATTCGAGTTAAGTTAATTTATAAATAATTAAA